GGGCCTCATGCATTCAAGGCAAGCACTCTACCACTGAGCCACCTTCCCAGCCCCATTGGCGTACAACTATAATCCCAGCACTCAGGAAGGTAAGGCAGGGGGATTAAAGCCATTTTATGCAATTTATAGAGAGCTTTCTCAAAGATAGATAGATAGATAGATCGATATACAGCCCATTCAGAAGACCAGAGAAAGTTTAAACTCACCAGCCAGAGAAATATAATTCCGTAGCAGAACATACATAAATAAAAAGTGAATCTCCACCTAGGTGGGCAAAAAGTAGAGGTTAGACAAATATCCATGTAAAAGAAAGTCTTTGAGGCTAGGTAAATTGAGATCAAGTTTTCTTGTGTATAAGATCCTTCCATCTGAGCACCGGTGGCTCATGTCTATAATCTTAGCTACTCAGGAGACTGAGATGTGAGGATTGCAGCTCAAAGCCAGCCTGGGCAGGAAAGTCCAAGGGACTCTTATCTTCAATAAAACTGGAAAACTGGAAGTGGTGCTGTGGCTCAAGTGGTAGAGTGCTCACCCTGAGCTGAAGATCTCAGGGACAGTGCCCAGGCCCAGAGTTCGAGGCCCCTGCCACCCCAGCCTCCCAAAAAAGATTCCTTCATATGGAAGTGCTGCTGTGGCTCCAAGTGGTGGAGAGCTAGCCTTAAGTGAAAAAGCACAGGGACGGTGCCCAGGCCCTGAATTGTTAAAGCCACATAAGTGACAAAATAAAAATAGATGCCTTCATAATAATGCTTAATGTTTTTATTGCATGACAGTGACGAATAAAATATTGTTTCTGGACTGGGAAGGTGGCTCAGTGGTAGAGTGCTTGCTTTGCATGCATGAGGCCCTGGGTTCAATTCCTCAGCACCACATAAGCAGAAAAAATCCGGAAGTGGCGCTGTGGCTCAAGTGGTAGAGTGCTAGCCTTGAGCTGAAGAGCTGAGGGACAGCGCCCAAGCCCAGAGGTAGTTCAGGCCCCACAACTGACCCCCAAAAAAAGTTTCTACAGGATAATTAGCAAAAAACTTTAGTGGGTTGAAGTATTGTCCAGAAAAGATGTATGTCACATAAAAATGTGAGTTTAGAGCAAGCTCTATCAAGGTGTACAGGGTTACACATACTTAGTTATATTAAGTGCAGTTATGGGAATTCACTCTCAGTGTATTTGGAAAAGAACAAAATGGAAGCACACTTAGCATAGTTGTAAGTATGTCACCAAGAAGCAAAAGGTGACCAGTTTTCTAGTTCTCTTCTTTCCTACTTAGAACAGTTATTAGCCTTCATTCATCAACAGTTATTCTAATAGTGGAAATCATTTCCAAAAAGAAAACCTCATTGTAGTTGTATTCTCACCCTCTCCCTCCTTCCCTACTTCCCTCTGAACACCTACATGCTTTCGCAGAATTTAGTGAGCGTTGGGGGCTTGTCCTGATTCCTCCGATGGCGAAACCAGCATTGGATTTTTCGGACATCCCAGTCCAGTTGCTTTGACAGGCCCTCCAGCCTTTTCTTATCAGGATTCTGTAGATACAAGACCAGAGTTAGAATGACCTTTCTCTCTTCAAACCCTTTATAAATCCCTTTGACTAGTTGAGTGGGAAAGGGAGGAAAACCACAGTGGTTCACTTGAACCATCCTCAAATCACTCTTCGAGGTGACATCCCAAAATCACTTGCAGGCATATTTTTGTGGGTAGAGATGTCTATATGCTGGACCTGGGGCTTGAACTCAAGGCCTGGGCATTGTTCCTGTGCTTTTTTTGCTCAAGGCTGGCTTTCTACCATCTGAGCCACAGCTCCACTGCTGCCTTTTTGGTAATTAACTTCGACAGAAAAAGTATCATGGGGAAAGTGGCATTGTGGTTCAAGCGGTAGAGCACTAGCCTTGAACACAGAGAAGCTCAGGGACAGAAGAAAAAAAAAGAAAGTTTCATGGGGGCATGGATTTAGATCAGTGGCAAAGCATTCGCTCTGCAAATGCAATGTCCTAGGTTCGAACCCAGAACCAAAAAAAAGGTTCATGATTTTCCTGCCCAGGCTGGCTTTGAATCATGACCCTCAGATCTCAGCCTCCTGAATATCTAGGATTACCGGTATGAGCCACCAGTACCTGGCCAAAATAACTTTCAGCAAAAATAAATAATAAATATCCTTTCTCATTTATTAAGGACCTTCACTGCTCACCTCTATATACCCTTGTTTGGTCTTCTTCCTCTAGCTTAAGCTGAGTTTAAAAAAAAAAAGGATACTAAAAACAAAAAGCTTGTAGCTGAGCTATTCAGGAGGCTGAGTTCGTTCTTTCTTTTTCCTTTTTTATTTTCCTTCTTTTTTGGATTTGTGGGGCTTGAACTTAGGGCCTGGATGCTGTTCCTGAGCTTTTTGTTCAAGGCTAGTGCTCTACCATTTTGAGCCACAGTGCCACTTCTGTGGTTAATTGGAGACAAGAGTCTCATGGACTTTCCTGCCAGAGCTGGGTTCCAACCTCAAGCCTCAGATCTCAGCCTCCAGAATAGTTAGGATTACAGGCATGAGCCACCAGCACCTGGCTAAGGAGGCTGAATTCTTTTTTTTTTTTTTTTTCTGGTCGTGGGGCCTGAACTCTGGGCCTGGGCGCTGTCCTTTAGCTCTTCAGCTGAAGGTGAGCACTCTACAACTTGAGCCACAGCGCCACTTCCAGCTTTTTCTCCTTAGGTAATGCTGAGGAATCAAACCCAGGGCCTAATGCATGCAAGGCAAGCACTCTACCACTGAGCCATCTTCCCAGCCTAAGGAGGCTGAATTCTGAGAATCATAGTTCAAAAGCAGGCCAAGCAGGAAAGTTTGTGAAATTCTCTTCTCCAATTAACCACAAAAAAGCTGGAAACAGAGTTATGGCCCAAGTGGTAGAGTGTGAGCCTTGAGCACAAAAGTTCAGAGACAGCGAAGAGCGCCCAGGCTTTGAGTTGGAGCAATAGGACTGGCGTGTAAGCACGTATGCACGCGCGCGCGCGCGCACACACACGCACACACACACACACACACACACACAGAGCCTGTAATTCCAACTACTCAGGAGGCTGAGATCTGAGGATGACAGTTGGAAGGAGAACAGGCAGAAAAGTCTGTAAGACTCTTTTTTTTTTCTTTTTCATTGTGAAAATACCATACAGAGGGGTTACAATTACATAGGCAACATGTAAGACTCTTTTATCTCCAGTTAATTATCAAATAGTCAGAAATGTAGCTGTGGGCTCAAGTTGAACAGCACCAGCCTTAAGCCAAAAAAGTGAAAAAGCTAAAAGACAACACTCAGGCTCTTTTGCAATCACTGTACACATAACATCCATACAAACAACAACAAAATAACAACAACAGCAACAAAAACCCACAAGTCACAAAGGCTGCCACCATTGACTGATAATTGAATTATACAATTGGCAATGCCAGAAACTAAAGCACAGAAAAAGAAAAAAGACATGGTGTCTTGGGTGAGAGGGGTAGAGATGGCTGCTAGAACTTAAACTCAAAGGTATGTAAACAACTTGTTGGGTAAATGTGCATGAATCCTGACCCAAAGACATTTCCTTGAGGGACTAAAGGTCTCCCTATAGGTATACAGACCATCAAAATGTGAAAGACCAGTGATTACTAATATGCCATCCCTGTAATCCTAGCTACTGAAGAGGCTGAGGTCTAAGGATCATGTTTGAAGTCAGCTCTGGCAGGAAAATCTGAAGGATTCTTTTTTTTTTGGGGGGGGGGAGGGATGGAGGGAAAGTCATAAGACTTGAACTCAGGGCCTGAGCCCTGTCCCTGAGCTTTTTCTGCTCAAGGCTAGCACTCTACCACTTTGACCCACAAGGTCACTTCCAGTTTTCTGGTGGTTATTTGGAGATAAGAGTCTCAAGGATTTGACCTTTAGATCTCAGCATCCTGAGTTGCCAGAAGTACAGGCGTGAGCCACCAGCCCCTAGCTATCTGTAAGAGTCTTATTTACAATTAATCACCAAAAAGCCGTAAGTGGAGCTGTGGCTCAAATGGTAGAGCTCTAGCTTTGAGCACTAAAGCTCCAGGACAGTGCACAGGCACTGAGTTCAAGCCTAGGACCAGTGGGAGTGCATGTGTGTACACCTGTGCATGTGCATGCACACACACACACACACAAATTTAGTGACTTTCATTTTCTCCTTCCCTTCTCTTTCATGTCCTCTATCCTTCCCCACTTTATAGAGCAACACTTCACATTAATTTTCCTTTCAATTTCTTTGTTCACTTACCTTAGTAATAGATAGAAACACCTTTTCAAGGATGGCATTGGGTTTGACATCAGATCTCCTACTGTTCTCAATGCCTAGTCGGAGTGCACAAGGTTTGGCAATAAACCTGTAATAAAGAAAACCCAAAGGTCATTTCTCAATAAGCATTAAGGAACTTTTTTGATTAGTGGATTAAATGATTAAAAAGGAAGCCTGGTGCTCTTGGCTCATGCCTAGAATCCTAACTACTCAGGAAGCTGAGATTTGAGCATTGCAGTGTTCAACCATGCCAAGGTAGACAAATTCAGGAGTCTCTAATTTCTAATTTTAAAAAGCCAGAAGTAGAGGTGTGGCTCAAGAGGTAGAATGCCAGCAAAAATCAAGGAGTACCAGTCTACAGCCAGGAATTCAAGCTCCATTACTGGTGCATACACACGCACACAGGCACATATACCTGTGTGTGTATGCGCGCGCGCGCGTGCACACACAATGCTTAACTAATGTCTTTCATTTCACTCTGGCTTGTCTTTAGCATATCTTGAGATTTAGAGTCAGACATACCTAGACCAAATCACTGTTCTACTACTTACTGCATATATGAACTTGGGCAAATTATTTAATCTCTATGAGCCTGTTTTGTCCTTGTTTTTGTTTTTCAGCAATACCTATAAGATAAAACATAGATGTTCTTCTTACTGAGCACATGTTACATAGATCAGGGACAGTGCCCAGGACCTGAATTCAAGCCCCAAAACTGACAAAAAGAAAAAAAAAAAAAGCTAGGTATAGCTTTGAAGTCATCAGCGGAGTAGGTGTAGCTTAATGGCAGAGTATGTATGTGCTTACCATGGACAAGCCCTGGGTTCAATGGAGGGGAGAAAGGAGGAATGTCTTTTTTTTTGGGGGGGTCTGGTCGTGGGGCCTGAACTCTGGGCCTGGGCGCTGTCCCTCAACTCTTCAGCTCAAGACTTGCACTCTACCACTTGAGCCACAGCACCACCCGGCTTTTTTTCTTTTTGCTTATGTGGTGCTGAGGAATCGAACCCAGGGCCTCAGGCATGCAAGGCAAGCGCTCTACCACTGAGCCACCTTCCCAGCCCAAGGAGGAGTGTCTTAATGGTCACCTTGGGTGGTCTTTTTATGATCATGAGAATTGAATTAGGGCCTTAAACATGTTAAGCATGCTACACCCTAGCCATTGGAGGGGGAAAAGAGAACTGGTGCTAAGCTCTTCCTTAATATAGCTATCCTAGGCATGGCCATCTGCCGAGCCAAAATATTACAGACACAACTTTCAGGAGTCCTGAAGAAAGAAATCAGGAATCTAGGGCTGGGAAGGTGGCTCAGTGGTAGAGTGCTTGCTTTGTATGCATGAGGCCCTGGGTTGGATTCCTCAGCACCACATAAGCGGAAAAAACCAGAAGTGGTGCTGTGGATCAAGTGGTAGGGTGCTAGCCTTGACCTGAAGAGCTGAGGGACAGTGCCCAGGCCCAGAGTTCAGGCCCCACAACCAACAACAACAACAACAACAAATCAGGAATCTAGGAAGGGTAAGAGGGAATTACCTATTTAGCATTCTAGTCCTAGAGTTTTTGAAAGTGATATAAATTTAGTTAAATCTTTTAATCCCTTGGGTTTCAATTATATAATGTGAACTACTTTTCTATATATAAAATTCTATGATGGTACCATTAAATTGTAGAATTGGGATCCTTGAAAGAGGTATTCCTTTAAAAAAAATTAAGTTTCTACTTATGTATCAGTGTAGTGCTGTGTCAACAGAATAACATCTATGTACCAGAGCATGAATACTGTTCTTCCAACTGATTTTTGGTTCTTCAAGAAAGATCATACTTTTCCACCACCTAGGATTCTTTCCTTCCTTCCTTCCTTCCTTCCTTCTTTTCTCTCTCTCTCCCTCCCTCTCTCCCTTCCTTCCTTCCTTTCTTTCTGTGTGTGAATATGCTGCCCCTGGGGCTTGAACCTAGGGCCTGGCACCATCCCCAGGTTTCTCCTTTCTTTAATGGATAAAGCTTGAGGCCATAGCTATCACTTGAGCCAGCTTTTTGCAGGGTTAATTGTAGATAAGAAAGACTCTCAGACTTTCCTGCCTGGTCTGCCTTTGAACCAGCTTCCAATCTCAGCCTCTAGAGTAACTGGGATTATAGGTATGAGCACCAGCATCTGGCTTGAATTTTTTTCCCCACATTTTTTTTTTCTTCTTCTTTTTCTCCTGGCACTGGAGAAATTCTCAGAGAGACCTTCTACTCTTGGCCTAATCTGCTCATGGTTGGCACTTTACCACTTCAGTGAAGCCTCAATTTGTGATTTTTTTTTAAATGGCTAATTGGAGATAAAAGTCTGTTGGTTACTCAGGCACTGATGGCTCATGCCTAAAATCCCAGCTACTCAGGAGGCTGAGATCTGAGGATCGAGGGTCAATAAAACTACTCAAAAAAAGCTAGAAGAGGCACTGTGCCCAAATGGTAGAGCGCTAACCTTGAAAAAAAGAATCTCAGGCAAGGGGCCAGAGCTTGCACCCATCTTAACTACTCAGGAGGCTGAGATCTGAGGATTACAGTTTGAATCCAGCTGTAGCAGAAAAGTTCCTTTGAGACTTTTATCTCCAATTAACCCACCCATTCAAAAACCAGAAGTGGAGATGTATCTCAAAGTGGCAGAGCAAAAGTACCATGAGCAAAAGAGCTCAGGGACAGCACCTATGCACTAGGCACACATAACCACCCCTTCTCTCAACACACAGAAACTCTACAGGTTTTGTCGGCCTCAGTTGGCTCCCAAGTATAATTCTCAGACTCCTTAGTAGGATTATAACCCTGAGCCACCAGCTTTTTATTTGTTTTTGTTTTCATTTTAACAAACAAACAAAAAACCGGGTAGCTCATGCCTATAATCCTAGCTTCTCAGGAGGCTGAGATCTGAGAATCACATTCAAAGCCAGTCATGAGACTCTTATCTCCAATTAACCATCAGAAAACCAGAAGTGGTGCTGTGGCTCAAATGGTAAAATGCTGAAGAGCTAAGGGACAGCACCCTGGCCCAGAGTTCAAGCCCCACTAACGACCAAAAAGAAAAAGAAAAAGAACAGGGATAGTCTTCCTAAGGAGTGCTTGGATTATAGATGTGTACCACCAGGCCTGGGGTTTCTATGTACCTTGATGTACATAAGAGCATCTAGAAACATTTTTTACAATGCAAATATTCACTATTCTAGGAGATGAATGTACTTATAGTAACGTACATTTTTTAAACCTGAAATAGAGAAAATCCTAGACTTTGAAAACTGCTTCCTTCTCCATGGGTTAAAAGACAAAATAGAAATAAACAAGAAACACCTGCTCAGATTCATTCATTACAACTTGCAAATGTTAACTAGCAGTCTTGCAAATTACATTTTCTTAAAACATAAAACCCTACAATGTAAACAACCTTGGTTCACTCTGCCCAGCATGCAAGAAAGGGAAAATCTGGTATCAAGTCCTTTTGATTAAAATAGAGAGGGAGAGAAACAGAAAGACAGACAGACTAAAAAGCTACAAGGTGGTGGCTCACACCTGTAATCTCAGGAGGCTGACATCTAAGGATGGTAGTTAGAATCCAACCAAGGGAAGGAAAGTCTGTCAGACTCTTATTTACAATAAACTACTCAGAAAAAAAACTGGAAACGGCTTAAGTTTAAGCCCCAGGACCAGCCAAAAGAGAGAGAGCGAGAGCGAACGCTAAAATATTCTTTTCTTTTCTTTTTTTTTTGGGGGGAGGGGGGTTGGTCATGGGCCTGAACTCCGGGCCTGGGCGCTGTCCCTCAGCTCTTCAGCTCAAGGCTAGCGCTCTGCCACTTGAGCTACAGCACCACTTCTGGCTCTTTTCTTTTTGCTTATGTGATGCTGAGGAATCGAACCCAGGACCTCTGGCATGCAAGGCATGCGCTCTACCACTGAGCCACCTTCCCAGCCCAAATATTCTTTTCTTTTTACTTATTTAGTCGTATTGGGGTTTGAACACAGGACCTTCTTCATTCTTGCTAGGCAGGTACTCTACTGCTAAACAATGAATCCAGCTCTTTTTAGTACTGGTTATCTTTCTTTTTTTGCTGGTCCTGGAGCTTGAACTCAGGGCCTGGGCACTGTCCTTGAGCATCTTTTTGCTCAAGCTGGTGCCCTACAACTTCTGCTTTTTTTTTTTTTCTTTTCTTCTTCTTCTTTTTTTTTTTGCCAATCATGGCGCCTGAGCACTGGGCCTGGGCACTGTCCCTCAGCTCTTCAGCTCAAGGCTAGTGCTCTACCACTTGAGCCACAGCACCACTTCCAGTTTTTTTCTGCTTATGTGGTGCTGAGGAATCGAACCCAGGGCCTCATGCGTGCAAGGCAAGCACTCTACCACTGAGCCACCTTCCTAGCCCCCCCCCCTTTTTTTTAAAGTTTATTGGAGATAAGAGTTTCACAGACTTTTTCTGCCCAGGTCCTCAGCTCTCAGCCTCCTGAGTAGCTAGGATTACAGGCGGGTGGCCGGCTTTTTTTTTTTTTTTCTTTCTTTTGTGATGATACTCTGGATATGCAGGCCTGGGTGTTGTCCCTTAGCTTTCTCCACACAAGACTGATGCTTTGACTAGCTTTATCCAGGCTGGCTTCAAACCTTGATCCTCAGATCTCAGCCTCCTAAGCAGGCAGGATTACAGGTGTGAACCATTGGCATCTGGCTAGTACTCAAATTTTTGTTTGTTTGTTTTGCTTTCTTTTTGTCATTTTTTGTTTTTGTTTTTGCAAGTCCTGGGGCTTAAACTCCAGGCCAGGGTGCTGTCCCTTGAAGAACTGACTCCTACCCTGTGGTCCCTGAGCAGCTTTTGCTCAAGGCTAGCACTCTACCACTTGAGTCACAGCTCTATTTCCTGATTTTTCTGTGATTAATTGGGGATATAGAATCTCACAGATTTTCTTGTCCAGGATGGCTTTTTTTTTTTGCCTCTTAAGTAGCTAGATCACAGACATGAGCCACTGACACCCAGGTGGTTCCTTAGCTCTGTGAAAGAGCTCTTTGGTTGTTAATTGGAGTCTCACAGACTTTCTGACCCTGTCTGGCTATGAACCTCGATCCTTAGATCTTAGCTTC